GTACGCCTAAATAAAATGCAACGAGCCGCACCGACAGATGTCCACCTCGTTTTGGATAAATATTTAAGCCTCGCTTCACGCGCTCCGCTGCCTCCACTGCCTGTCCTTCCTTTCCTCGCCGTTGCCAATCAGCCCACCCTTGTTCTTTTCGAAATTCTTCTCGAGGCTTTCACTTCCTGAAATTATTTCTAATTCCTTTTTTTTTTTTTCTATAATTGAGAAAAATACTTCTCTAACCGCATCATGTTAGTTAACTTTTTTTTTTCATTTTTCTTTTGTTAGGAAAAATTATTTCTATACTTTTCTTTTTATATTAATTCTTTTCAATTATCAAGAGTATGAATTTCGAATTTTTCAAACTTTTCATCAGCCCATATTTTCATATTTTCATATTTTTTTCTTGGCTTTTTATTTCTTGGCAGAAATTATTTCTAATTCCTTTTTTTTTTCTATAATTGAGAAAAGTACTTTTCTAACGTGATGCGAATTTTTAACTTTTCTTTTCATTTTTCTTCTCTTAAGAAAAATTATTTTTATTTTTTTTCTATATTAATTTTTTTCAATTATCAAGAGTATGAATTTCGAATTTTTCAAGCTTTTCATCATATTTTCATATTTTTCTCTTGGTTTTTTATTTCTTGGCAGGAATTATTTCTAATTCTTTCTTTTCTTTTTTTTATAATTAAAAAAAGTACTTCTCTAACGTGATGCGAATTTTTAACTTTTTTTTTCATTTTTCTTTTTTTAAAAAGAATTATTTCTATACTTTTCTTTCTATATTAATTTTTTTCAATTATCAAGAGTATGAATTTCGAATTTTTCTAATTCTTTTTTTTTTTCTATAATTGAAAAAAATACTTTTTCTAACGTGATGCGAATTTTTGACTTTCTTTTTTCATTTTTCTTCTCTTAGGAAGAATTATTTCTATTTTCTTTTTCTATAATTTTTCGAAACTTTTATCAGCTCACATTTTCATATTTTTTCTCTTGGCTTTTATTTCTTGCGAGGAATTATTTCTAATTTTATTTTTTTTTTCTATAATTGAAAAAAGTATTTTTTTTAACGAGTGATATGAATTTTTAATTTTTTGTAGAGGTTTTTGAGAAGTGATGGCTATATTCGTTTTTACAAGTGTGTTTTTTTTTCATTTTCCTTCTCTTAGGAAGAATTATTTGTATTTTCCTTTTCCTATAAATTTTCAATTACAAAAGTATGAATTTTTCGAAACTTTCATCAGTTCACATTTTTATATTTTTCTCTTGGCTTTTATTTCCTGAAAGGAATTAATTCTAATTATTTTTTCATAATTGAAAGAAATATGAATTTTTTTTAAAAGTTTGAAGAATACAAAAGAAACTTTTCCTTATAAGATAAGATTAAAAAATTAAAGATGATTACCAATTATACTCAATAGTAAGTGTTAAAAAAATGCAGATAAAAATCCAAAGGAATTAATTTTCTTAATCAGAAACTTAATACTGATAATTAACATTCTTTGAAATACTTTAAGCGAAAATTTTATTTATCTTCGTCCACTACTTCGAAATAACGTTCCAAATTTGTAATCAAAGAGATAATCAAATGACAAAGTATACTACTATTATATTTATCAAAATGAATTGAATGGAATTTTTGCATTAGACAAATGAGAATTTAAAAAAGAAACAAAATCAAAACTTGGGACGTTCAAAACGATTTTGAAAATGGAAACAGATTTATGCTTTTTTTAAAAATTTCTCCAAATAACATATCGTTTTTAAAGAAAAATACCGACACCATTTTTGGGATTCGTGATTCAGAAAGAAGGAGTTTGATAAAGAGCTGAAACTTATAGACGGATCATTACGGATTCCGTGTCGATAGAAACAATTTTGCGGTGTATTTGCTCGTTCGATTAACCCTCAAGTTTGTGAGTCGTAGAGATTTCCTCTCCTTTTGGATCGGTTAACAAAGGATCTCAGCCCTGGGGGGCTGATCCCTGTTTACTCGTGAAATTCTTAGCCGAAAAACAAAAATATCTGTTCCCGAAATTGAGAATGATTAGGATTCTGATTTTTGAAATTTTCCCATTGCAATTGACTTAAATTTTTAAGTACATATGTAAATTGACAGATAAACATGCTTCAATGTTTTCTAGATATGAATGCATCGAGTGAAAGAAAAATCAGAAAAATTAAACGAATGAAAGTTAAAAAAAAAAAAAAGAATTTATGGATTTAATCAGGAGATATCCAATCGATAGTGAGTTAAAATATTAGGAATTTTGACTCCAATGTTCTCAGCTTTCGGGAGAAACGCTTGGAGTTTAAGGAATCTTTCGAATTTTTGAAAACTTTCGCGAAGAATAAAGTGAAAGTTATGGAAAGGAAAAGAATCAAAAAGTAAACTTTTTCTAAAGTTTTTCGTTTACATGAAAAAAAATTATGCGAGTAGAAAAAAAAAACAAGATTATTAAAAATGTATTTTAAAAATTTAAAGTAATTGAAAATTGAATATCGATCATTTTTGCTCTTTCATCTTTTAACCGGTCAATTTCAACATTGACCATTATTGCCCATCAATTTTTAACATCTCGTCATCCAAATATCATCAAACATGAAAGATGTGATCTCTTCCTCTTTTAGATTTTAAGGATTCGCTCTTAAAGGATGTTAGTAGCTTGTGAAAGATTCACAGCACGTCCAAGATTCTCTCGATGCGTCACATTAAACGAGTTATAAGGATATATCCCGAGCAGCACTGCTATCAATATTATGGTACGAAGTCAGATGAAATTATTGTTATGTCAAAGCACTTTCAAAGTGCTTTGACAATATATCAGAAGGGAGTCTTACAATTTTCATGTTTTTCTGACAAAATTATTCAGTCATAATCAGAATCCTCAATTTTTTGATCTAAAAATAATCCCATTGAGATAATTATTTTTTTTGTTAATTTCCTTCTTACTAA